GGGTTGAAGTCTGGTCTGGTCCCTCTTTCCCTGTGGAGATATAAACAACACCCTCCCCTTGGGTGGGTTAGTGCCCCTGTTCTCCCGGCTATCCGTGTTTCTTCCCCCACCCCCCACCCCCCACTCCTTTTTAGTTGACTACCATATGTATCCCTGGGTTTAGTCTGACCCCTGCCGTATTACCTGGACCACCCCAGGGACAGATGTTTACAGTAGCTTCTTCCCTATGCCCCTTTTGGATTTTTTGAGCTTAACTCAGCGGACTCATGTTGTACTTGTCCTTTTGTGCTTGGCTTACTTCTCTTAGCCTGATTTCTTTTAACTTTGCTTTCTGCAGGTTGTATGTATTGGTTCAGTGGCAGAGCTTGAAGAACTTTCAGGAGCAAAGATCTCAGATCTCCACAGAGAGAGGTCAGTTTCTGAATGATTTAGATTCACTTCATTTCAGTCCACATTCAGCCTAAATCCTTGCCTGTTAAGATGTGATGCAGATTACATGTAGAAATTGGTATTACTGAACTGCTATGTTACTAACGCAGTTCACATTGAGATTAATACATATGTGATGTGTGTCCTTGTCTGGAGGGCAGTTGCAGAATTCTTCCCTTCTCTGCAGTAGACTAGGGTAATGGAAATGGGGAATCCGGGTAGTAATTTGGAAGAATGTTGTTACATTGAATATATTGCAACTAATGTCATAAAATAAACATGTATAAGTTGTTGATTGGGAAACAATTAACTCTAAACTTTTGCCTAAACCACAATAAAATGTTTAAAAGGTAATAAATATTTTCCATTTTTCATTAGCATTGACCATCTGACTATCCCGTCACGCTGTGGGAATGGACCTTTGCATAGAATCTCCGAAGTATTTGATTGTTGGTTTGAGAGTGGCAGCATGCCTTATGCACAAGTCCATTATCCATTTGAAAACAAAAAGGATTTTGAGGATGTTTTTCCAGCCGACTTCATTGCTGAAGGCATTGACCAAACCAGAGGATGGTATGTTCTTTATTTTTCATCAGATATTTTACTTATGTAGGATTTTACTGAGTGACTGCTATTTATTTGCTGCATAATGAGGATATAGTTACAAGACAGGCTCAGCTCTTGCCTTCTGCCCCTTATTACCAAAGCATGGGCATTAAAGGGGCCTTTTGAGACGGAATCTCACTATAGTAGACCTATAGTCCTACAAGTTAAGTAATTTTGCTTACATTTTGGAATAGAGAAGCTAATATGGGAAAGTTAAATGATAGAATAATTAATGCGTATACTTTGCTTATTTACGTCATATATGCTCAGCTGCTTAGTATTTATATGCAGACTGGTGTTAGAAATTTGAGGATATACGGATGTTTGCTTAATAAATAAACATTCTTTTAAAAATTCATATTAAAAAAAATACACAGGGAGAATTTGGGCATTAGGCTTAACTAGTGCTTTCTTTAACGCAGTCCCATCTTTCTCCTAATTGGGGAAAGATAAGCTAATTTTTCCTATCCGATGAGATTTTCTGGCCCAAATTATAACCATACTTTCATTAGTAAAGTTTCTGTTGCTGCATGTTTAAACCATGTTGATTTCACTTTCTGCCACAAGTACAGCTTTGTGGTCGTCATCACAAACTGACTGAATTACAATTTTAATATTCTAGAATAGGAGTCAGCAAACTTTTGAGATGTAAGAGCCAATTCTGTCCATCACACCAATTTAAAAATTATTCAGGAGCCATAATTATATTCTTAGAAACCAATGAAATCACCATGATCTGAATAATTTCCTTTAAATTTTTCAATTTTACTTGAGAGCAAAAGAAATATATATGACTCAAGCTGCAGTTTGCTGATCCCTGTTCTAGAATGTGCTATGAAGCACAGTTTCACTTTCAGAGCCCTTTTTTCTATTTTCTATTTAAAATCCATTTATTTACATATATGACTAGTTCCCAAAAATAATTACTGCTTTTACGGAGGGCCCAGCTTACTTCCCACTAAGCCTGTTTCTCTGAGAAGCTGCTGACCCTGATAGCCATTACAATTCCTCATAGTGGGACCTATTGTCCATGCTATCTCTCTTGCTAAATTTTGAGCTGTTTAAATCAGGCACTGAGGATCCTCCTTGCTTAACAGTCAAAATCTGTTCTTTGTTCTTGTAGTTTGGGATGGAAATCTTATCGGATTATCCATCCAGCATGATTTAAGTGTTAGATGTGACCCACATCTTTGATTTTCTAGCCAGTCGTTCTTGGCTGGTCATTAGAGGAGCCAACCTCTGTCTCCTTCTCTGTGGCCCTTGATTACGTGGTTCCAGAGAGGACAGGATAGTGCCACTGCTCTGCACACTGGTTTCACTGGAAGGGTCAGCAAATCAATGCAAGTCTTTCTTTGCTTCAGCTCTGTGCTTCTCCATCCATCCGACTAACAAAAGTAAATACTAGATACATTGATTGGATTGACATGGGTTAGGCCTGTGTCTCAAGAACTTTTCAGTGCTCCCTAGATGATTGATGTATCTAGACAGGATTGGGAACTGAATTCTTAAAATTCATCAAAAATAATTATGATAACAAAGAATGGAAATTAGGTCTAATTAAGCAAACAAACACTAAAAAAGTTTTATTCTGTGCTTTTAATTCTTTTCTTTTGAACTGTTTAAAACATTTTTTTCTTCCAGGTTTTATACACTGCTGGTTCTGTCCACAGCTCTGTTTGGACAGCCTGCTTTCAAGAATGTGATTGCAAATGGGCTCGTCCTAGCTAGGCAAGTGTTTGCGTAGTGCAATTTCTGATGCCTTTCTGCCTCTCACCTCCAAGTTGTTCCTTTTCAAACCAGTCAGGTTCTGCCAGCGCCCTGATGCAGTGTGGTTTTTTTTTCTCCCTGAAGAGGAATTTAGGAATTTCTGGTTCAGCTCCTATCCCTTTCTTCTCCTCTGGGTAACACTATGTGCTGCTTTTCCTTTTCTTTGAAATTCCACTAGTTGCAGTGAATTTAGTGTTCATTTCTTTATCTTTGCTTTTTTTAAAAAAAGTTTTATTGTTATAAAATTCACTGATTAAGTCGCTTTCAAAAGCAGTTGTATATGCATCATTGCAATTGGTTCTAGTGTTCTCTCACCCTCCTGTATTTGCTCTCCAATCCCCCTCACCCTACACACTCTTCTGGTAAACCATTGCATCAGTTATTGTCTTATTTTCTCTATGAATGGACTCCATCTGCACTTCATAAACTGAGGAACCTAACAGAATCAATAAAAAACAACAGGTTAAAAATAGATGAGTAAGAAGAAATTTTTATTGTGCAACAAGGGAGAAATATTTAAGACTAGAACAAATTCAGGTTGAGTCTAGAGAGGGAGGTCAACTGACCAAGTATCATACTGTAGTTCTATCCACCATAATCAAGTTTATAAAAATCTTTGTCTGTTAGTAAAGTTGTTTAAGTCTCTCGCCTGTGGCCTGAAGGGGATCTGCCAGATGCCTAAATCTGACTAGATATTCTGTAGATGGAATTTGGTCTTCCCCTGCCCTCCATAGCCTTAATACAAGCCTGTAAGACCCCAGACACTATTCCAATCGATAGCTGGGCACCATCTGCTTTCTTAACCACATTTTGCTGTAGCAACCAACTCTTCAGTAATCTCTTCATGAAGGCGAGTATTGAGCAGGGCCATGCTATAAGAACTGTTCTTGTTTGGGGGATAGAGCTAAGTGGGATCCCAGAATCCACCTCCTTGGTGATGGGTTATGAATGACTCTGGTTTACTAAACCCCCAAATCAACAAAAACAAGACCCCTTGAACAAAAAAGAAAAACATTGTCAGCCATCCTACCAGGGCACAAGACAACAACTTTTATTTTCTATGTGCACAATGAAATATCAGAATGAAAGCCTTACTCTAGCAGAGAAGAAAGTAGAGGACTTTTAGGTTATATCTTTCCCAGCATACTTCCCATTTTTAGTAAAATGCCATGTATCAGAAGTTTATCAACTATTTTTACATATAGATCATAATTTTTCTCTATATTGTTTATTAATAAAAGATTTTTTGTTTTACTCCCCTTATCATGCAAGGAACCTGTTGGTTCAAGAGACCTTAAATGCCCCAAGGAGTCACAATACAGATACTTTTACACCAGATCCTGCTCTGACTATGACCTAAAACTGCTTCTTTCAATGAATCATAATCCCCATTTTCTGATATTATAACTAAGCCTCACTTTTCATTAGTTTTTCATATTTCCTTTACTTTTATTACCTCTATTCATTAAAAATAACCACAGAAATGGGAGGGAAATATAACTCCATTTGAAATAAGGTAGTATGACGAAAGACAAGTAGAATTTCTAACATAGAATGTGTACGTTGTCAGACCTTGATGTGAGCATTTACATTTGTTAATTCTTTTAGCCCTCAGCGCTCTGATGGGTCTTGTAATTTGAGGAACAGAGAAATGAAATAATTTGCCCAAAGCCACAAACCAAATTGTAAATATAGAATTTGAACCTAGCAATCTGAATATACAACCTGTCCCTTTATAGGTACATTTCATTGACATTAATTACATTCATGTTAAGCAACTATAAGCACTATCCTTAACAACTTCAAAATGCTCCATTAGCGATGACTTTTCTCTGACATTTGTTACCCACTAATAATTTTGATATCTACACACTTGCCTATTTCATATACATGAGATCATACTATATCATTTTGTGATTGAATTATTTCAGTCATTAAAATTATTTCAGGATTCAATAATA